CTTTAAGAACCCACCCAATCAGTCCATGGCGATTCGTACGAGTATTTCCTGCTCATGTCCCTGGGCCTAAATCCTTTTTTTTCCGTACGAAAGAGTTCACATACGCGCTGGTATATTCAGGGCATTTTCAGGACTCTGACTGGCACTTTACCAACAATTCTGCATCCGCAGACGTTTCGAGGAGATGAAAATAAATATAAAATTTCCTCGTTTACAATACAAATTATAAATAACGATTTATCATGAGCTGCAGTTGATGTTGCATTTGCCAATCGCACACCTGAATGCTTCCTCGAGTGCCTTCACATTCGCCCCTGCGAGTGCCCTTGCGCTCCTGCCCCGCCAGGATAGAGCCAATTGCCTTACCAGAGGACAAAATCCCCGGCTTGAAGCAGGCACCGAGCTGAACCCGACTGGGACGAAATAAATTGCCAATGGCAACAAGAGGCAGACTTTAACGGACTCGGAGTTTTCCTTCCCTTCCCTTCCCTTCCCTTTCCCTTTATTGTTTCTTTCCTTCTTCTGTTGCCATTCTGCAGTCAGACATCAGTTATATATGGAGAAGTTGATTTGGAAAATATTTCCGCTGCAGGAAAATAAATATTTCTGGTCAAACGTCCAAACAGCCATCCGGAAGGGAAGTTTTCCCGTTTCCTCAAACAACTGCATTTGCGCTGGGTTCTTGGGGAATTTCTCACCGGGAAATATTATTTAAATTGCAATGCAAGGGAGAGGCAACAGAACACAGACTGTTCCGAAAACGAACTCCGACATAAACTCGGCACATTCACCGCTAATCGCTTCCCCACAGACGCATTAACAATTTATCTTGCCTTATTTTATGCGAAAACTTTTCGCCAGCCACGCCCCCTGCAGCGGCATCTCTCACCTGCCGCCGCCGAAATCGAACCCGAGAAAAAGAAAAACATTTGAATTGAAAATCGTGCCGGGCAGAAAGAGTGTGCGGATACGAGTACTCGCCGTAAAAAAAATATCAACGACATGCGCATAATTTGAGCACACAAACACACTGGCAGGCAGAGCACAGTCCATGGGGAAATAGCAGTAGGAGTAGGAGTAGGAGCACACGTGAATGCGAGAATATGGGAGGAATATGGGAACGGATAAGGCAGAGTTGGATATTGTCGGGGTGTGCTTAGGTAGACCTTTGGGGCTTTCGATAAGAGAAATGTACATTTGGTAGCTTAAGGAGAGGAAAGTTCGATCTGCGCTTTGTTGTCTCTGAAGGGGGCAAGGGGAGCTGGGTCAGGTTATGTGGTTGATTGAGAAAATGTGTGGAAAGAACTCTGCGCAACTCTGCACTAAAATGAAAATGGAAAACTTCTTACAGCAAACGTAGTTACATAATTTCCACAGTTAATTCGTACAGTAAACCCAAGGGGACTTCTGCTTTAAACTCCTGAAGCCTGTCAGGTAAATGTTATTTTTATGTTTATTGGAAATATTTGGACTCAATGCAATGCTAAATGTTTTCGACACTGGGAAGTTTTGAGGAATAAAATAAAATAAAATAAAAACAAGTCAAATAAGCGAGTAAAAACTGAAATAAACTCGCATCGAAGGTAAACCCAATCCACTTATGTGTACTGCGAAATATTTCAGGCTTACTTAAACTTCTAGCTGGGGAAAAAACGATTTTTTAACTGGTTTTCAGTCAGCTGCCAGTCGCCGCCCTGTCCTGTACAGTTGAGTCCAATCAAATCCAATAAATTCGTACAATAAAATGCGCCAATAAATTGCTGTCTCCTCTACTATCCGCAAGCTGCGAAGCTGGAAACTAAAGTTAAATTGAATTAAAATTCAGAGCGCTTAATGTGCCAAACAGTGGGTACTGGGTACTGACAGAGTGCTGCCTGTCCCAGTCCCAGTCCCTGTCCCAGTCCCTGTCCCTGTTCGACCCCTCAAAGTCTTCACATGTCGCACATTTTTCAATAAACTAAACAATTTACGAAAATTGAAGTTTATCTCAATTGTGCAGCTGTTGTTGACAACATTTTCCGAACTCAAAGCTTTGTTGCCAGCCAGCCCCATCTTCGTGGCGTCGCGCTCCCTTTTCGGGGGCGAACTCAATTTGGCAATAAACTGGCACTCAAAGCTCATGGCACAGCTCCCTCCTCACAATAACCTCTCCATTGCCACTGGTGCTCTCGTATATGAGGCACGATCCCAATACGCTCCAGCCCCCCTCCTGCTGGTGCCCCTGCAGCCGATTGTGAAGTGGTGCACAAATGCGCTTAGTTGCTTTATTGGTCAAGCTGTTGTGCGTGGATAAAACCCTTTTAGTGCACAATTGCTATAAATTCGCCTGGCCCATTATATTGCGAGTTGAGTCCATGGATGGACTCAATGGAGGGATGGCAAAAGGGAGTGGGAGAGGGATAGGGATAGGGTCTCGAGCTGCCATTGTCATGTGAGGGATATATAGCAGTCCCAGTAGCAAGAGCAGGAGCAGGAGCAGGAGTCCAAGTCGATGTCGATTGACGAAAAAGCTTATTTTAATCTCATTTGACAGCCATGGCAGTGGAGAGGAGCGTGAGCGTATAAAATCGGAGCGGGGGAAAATTGAAACTATTCTCCTCGGAACAGCTGTTGGGTGCCTTCCATTTGATAAACGGACAATTCGGCAGGGTCAAAGGGGTGCTTCGGGTAATATAATTTGCCATGATTAAGTTTGGAATTTGCATGAACTGCCCTGAGTGACACATTCTGATGACCCAAGCATTTGCAAATGGGCAGCAGTTTGGTGTTAGTTTATTGTCAAACTGGGTCGAATGGCGGTTCATCTCCAGCTGGGTCGAACCACATCTCCCTCTCGCTCTCGCTCTCGCTCTCCCTTTCTGGTGGGGGTTAATTGTCGGTCATTTCGCACATGGCAACATTTTTTGCATAATTAAGATTAGGGTTAAGGAAATGCTTCGGGCCTCTCTCTGACCCCTAATTGGAATGCTTTCTGATTGTGTGTGTGTGTTTTGTGCATTGTTTGGGCTTTGGTTAGAAGCCCAAATACTTGAGTGAATGAAATGGGAGAGTCTTTAAACTGCTGATAGATATGATTAGTTTATGTGATCCGAAGGCAGCTGATGGAAAATTAAAGCAAATTGGTTTGCAAAATGACGATGAGAATGGATGATTACAAGAGCTTCTATAAAGGCGATTGAACGATTAATAAATATGTGCCATATAAGCAGATAGTTCACATTATTCGGATGTATTATGATAAAAGTTTGAATCACTAAAAGATAAGATACTAAAAGTGGACGATGCTTGGGACGATGCTTTCTCTCTTTAGATAGAATTTATTTATTTTATTTATAAATAGTTACAAAAGTTACAAATACTTATTCATCAGAAAAGATAGTCACTAAAGCAAAGACTCTATAGAGTGTTATAGAGTCTTTGACTAAAGTACATTTTCAGTTCATTTTTGTGCTGTTTTCCCGTCTTTAAATAACGTTCTGAGGCAAAAGTTCTGGGAAATGTTATTGAAACAGTCAGAGAGCAGAAAGGGGATACAAGGAGGAGCACTAATAGCTTTCTCCTGGCGATTGATGATCCAGTTGCGAACGGAAAGCGAATCGAGTAAGACTTCAAGTCTTGTTGGGGCAATCGCTTCAGCTCAGGCAGCTTAATTGCATTCGTGTGCCGAGAAGGGATCCCTGACAGGGAGTGTGTGTAAAGGACCAACAAAAATGGCTAAAAAGGCAAATAAAACAACCGAAAGACGGGAAGCCGGAGCAGGGGAACGAAAATTCATTATGTATTTTGCGCCTCGGCCAGACTTAGAGCCACGTTCAATGAAACCCGGAGCACTCGCACTCCGCACTCTCACTCTCACTCGCTCCCACACATCCTCGCAGCGTCCGTGCACCTTCAGCATCGGCATCATCTTGCCCAGTCCGTCCAAGCCAATCCACTTCAGCACCTCGGGCCTGTGTTGCGGTTTGGCGCTTGTTAATTTTGCAGTGAAAATTGCTTTGGTATTTACAGTGCACTTGGCCAAAGGCGCATTACGGGCACGCCTCCATCTCCCAGATCCCCCTCAAAAGCCCTCTCCGGAACACACTCCTTGCTTTGGCAATTCCCTGGAGAGTTTGCTTTATGCTACTCGTATTTGCCGTAAGCCTTAAGCCTCGCCATCGCCCTGCCATCGACAGCTGCTCAACATTTTCACGTGAAGTCTGATGCGGATGGATGCCTGATTGTGTTTGCCATCTCTCTCGCTGCTCGCTGGTAGATGCTCGCTGCTCGGCAACTCCCTCTCTCTCGCTCTCTGAAGACTAATCAAGACAGCCACTTTATGCCAGAAAGTATGCTCCACGAGATTGCGTAACCTACTTATCTTTAAACTAATTTGTTTTCTAGATTCCCCCCTACCCATCCCCTTCCCCATCACGGGGAAAAGTCTTTTACATTTATCCGCTACTTCTGTGGTTTTTATCAACTTTGGTTTGGTTTGGTTTCGTTTGGTTTGGTTCGCTTTTTGTGTGTGTTTGCGGGGCATTTCATTGCCAGCCACGATGCGACCATAAAACAATGCAGCATAAAAAGTGACCCACCATTCTCCCCTACCCCCCCCTAACAAGCAAAAGTACTCAAGGCGAATGGAACAAAAGTAACTATAATAAATGTTTGCAAATAAATTGTGAGCTGCTAAAAACGCACGCAAAAAGAACAAATTCTCGTCCGCTTCTTCAATTTTTGTTGCCTTGGCATTAAAAAAGTTTAAGCGCTTTGACTTCCTCCTCTTCACTTGAGAGTATGACCAAATCTGTTTTATGTTCCGGAATTTGTGAAACTCTGTGACTGATGGGGATATGGATGGGGCTGGCATGGGATGGAAACGGTCTGTCAGTCAGTAGAAGACCGAAAGGAGGGAGAGACAGATGTCGCTGTCAAATCAGGTATCAGGTAGAAAGGCGAAGCAAATGGGGACTTGGACTCTATGGATACACGAATAAAACATCTACCACTGCCTGAACTCCGAATAAACAATTTAACATTTTTATTACGATTTCCCTGGAGTAATAATGAAATTTTCTAAAATGTGCATCAACTTTTTCCCCACCGTTCAAAGATAATATATGATATGGTGTGTATGTATATAGTAGTAGGTGCCAGCTAATGGCACAACGCATTCGCCACCACTTTTGGCTGGCAATGGCAGTTCGGTTCCTCAGCGTTGTACAACAATTCGTCGAGATACATTTTGATGCCAGGGCGTATATCTTTGGTCCCGATGCCTGGGGCTATGCGACTAAAGACATAATTGCAAAACACATTCATTCGCTCCTCCTTCTGCGCCTGAAGAGAGGTCTGGATATCTCGCCTGAGTTCTGGGAACGGATACGGATACGGATGTCAATGTCTCGGATAAGATTCACTGCATTTGTTACTTACTGGAAGCCACGGCCGTTTGAACTCTGGCCACGTCTGGATCCCGCTTGGACTTCTCAAACATCAGTATGATGCGTTGCACGCGAATATCGGTGTCCTTGGAGAAGCCCGGCTCATTGATATCCACGTGAATGTGGCAGTCTCCCAGAACAGCACCAGGACCCGGGTAGGGCGTTACTGTGTACTGTTCAGAAGTAATGAAGTGCCGACGCATGTCCTCGAGATATGAGCGTCGTTTGGCGATCGAAGCCCGCACTCGGCCGTTGTGGAAGCGGTAGCTGAAGGTGCGGGCCAGATCCTCAATCATATTAAGGCATCTACGGGGATGGACAGGGACAGAGACACTGTTTAGTGTGGAAGTGGGAAAGTCGTATCGCAGGGCTATCGTACCCTTTCTCGCGCATTGAATAAACCCCCGGAAGCTGATTGTCATACATCATATGGCGCAGATTTCGGGCCAAGCAGCTGATCAGATCCTCGGCGAACTGCAGCTGCAGTAGCTGAAGGCCATTGAAGTCCTGCACGAACTGACGGGTGCGCCAGCCCCGGTACAATGTCTGGATCCTAGTGGCCTGCTCGTGGTAGTGGGCCAACAGTTTCTTCTGCATACTCTCCTCCACCCAGAAGTAGTAGTTCTGGCGAACACTGAAGCCCCGCCACCACCTGCTGATGGTGGTGACTGCAGCCACGATTCTGGCCAACTTCTGCCGGCAGAGCCATCCCCGCACATGGCGCTGAATGGTCCGGGCAGACTTGAACTGTTTGTAGTCGAGCAACAGCTGCAGGACTCTGAAATAACCCATTGAAGTCCCCTCTGAACCGGTGGGGAATCTTACCGATCGACTTACCGATCCTGAGGCGCGATCCTAACGTCGTGGTCGAACGACGAATGTATGGATTGCTCGGAAAGCTGCGATTTGATCGTCCCGGCGTCATCGGAGTCCAATCCGCTCATCGAAAGTGTTTTCTGTGCTCTGTATGAGCTCATGTTGAACTGTCAAGGAGTAATGTGACTGTTAGACAGAGCTGTTTGGGCCAACCTTGTTTACAATAAGCTAAGAAAATTCTATAAAAAATGCGAAGGGCTGAACTGCAGTCTTCCGATCACTCTCTTATAGCATCACTGCCGATATAGTTTGTTTGGCTGGTCAGGGTGCAGCGAGATACGTTCATCGGACCGATGATCGAGGCATGAACCAGCGTACACGTGCCTTGCAGTCTTGTTCCTTTTTCATCGTTCGATAAACACACACCGACATACACCCCTCCCTGAATGTGCCACATTCAGGTTGCCTTTCACTTTCACCCGAGAACCTAAAGCCAGAGCACTCCACTTCTGCGGGAGAGCCGCCAATCAGAGCCGCAGTCAAGCTGCCACTCAGTCAACAATGTGGATGTGTCTATGGGAGAGCTCCCTTCAAGCGCATCTGCAGCTTAAAGGATTTACATTGAATACAGAATGTTGATACTTCATATCAGTTTAGTATGCCCCACGTCACAGGGAGAAAAAAACCCGATGGTGAGTGAGAGAATAGCGACAAACCCACTGTGAAAATCTTCGATTTCCATAAGTGAATTTTCCCTGTGCACACAACCGCCTGGAGTCGCAGGCAAGTCAAGTAGGCAGCCGCGGAATACACAAGCCCGGGCGCCATGTACATATGTACGAGTATGTACGCTAGTATTCGCTTCCGCCTGCCACATTGCCATATCACCATATCGCCATATCGTCGGAGGGCGGTGGGAGCCCCGAAATGGTGTCATGTACGAAATGTGAAAATCGTGTTGTACAATTTCATGGCTTGGCTTTTGCCAATTTCCAATGTAAAGTCAGCCGGCGAACGCATGCGGCTCAGGGCGAGGCTTTTCTGTGGCGCCAAAGTCTGTGCGCTGCCCCCTTTCCGGCGTAACCGTCACCAGTCGCGTGGTGGCGTGGCATGAGCTGTGCGTATTTGGTTTGCTAATGGGCAACATTTGGATTTTCAAGTCAGTTGGAAAATGCACTGAGCTTCTGTTTTGTTCTCCCTCTGCCAAACTCCAAAGCCAATGCAGCTTAAAGCGTCCGTCCATGATTTAGTCCCCAGATGGGTTCATGGGTTGATGGGCTGGGGACTGGAGGCAGTAAATCTTGCTTGGGATATTGAATTTCACGATGATTGGAGTTGTCAAGGCAGCAAAGAGTTCTCCGCTCGTGGGAGAAAGGCAACGCGAAAAGTAATACGATTTGATTAAGGTAATGCGATGACGATGTGCTATACAAAGTCTGAGAAGTTTGAGAAGACAAACGATATGTTAAATCGTATATCAAAGGAATACCATACAGAACACTGAAAATGTTTATGTAACAAAGTATAAATAGCAATGGATGAATTATTACGGAATGTGTGTGGGTTCCACATTCCAACAAAATATATATTAAATATTAACCGAACTTAGAGTATAAGCTATAGATATATCTGGATTGCTAGGTAAAGATCGAGAATAATTCATATTAATAGCAAAAATGCTTCAAATATGAAACATGTCCTAATCCCCTTTCCCTTGCCACTTATCCGATTTCAGCTTGGATAGGAAACCGACTCCAGCTCCATCATCTGCCAGCAACAGTGTAGAGGCCACATACGGGGAGCGGATGGACCCAACAAAGCGGGAGCAGAGTAAAGTCATATAAAATACACAGCAACAAAGTGCAAGAATTGTGGAAAACAGGAAATGAATATGCAAAAAATGCAAAAGGGATATGAAAAATGCAAATAGCCAAATCGAGTTCAATGGAAAATGCTGCTAACCCGAACATACTCGTGTGTGAACAGATCCACGGGCATGCCAGTGGCATGAAGGTGTCCGAATCCGAACACAAATGGGACTCACTGTGCAGATTGCTAATTGTGGCTGACTGCTAAACCGAAGAAAGCAAAAGCAAACGCAAAAGCACATGCGGAAAATGAAAAATGCATTAAATGCAACCGCAAAATAGAGCAAAAAGTAAAACCAATCAGAGGGAAAAAAAGGAAATTGCACAAGCTGGACCCCGGCACAAAGGGATGGCGGGGCGAGTTAGCGAATGTAAAAATTGATTTCTGCGGTTTTAACCAGCGGATATCGGATATTGCTCATACGAGTACGAGTGCGAGTAGGAGTACTTCAAATCTCAGTGCTGCGGACTGCTGTGCGACACGAAAAATTCACTAATTAATCAATAAATAATCACATTTGTGGACAAACAGTCAACAGAATGCCACTGCCGGCGATTAAACTGCGAAACATTTTCATCCTTGCCGTTGTTTACACAGCGACCCTGCCAGGTGAGTGTGCCATAGTAAATTAATCAGATATCCATTATGCAGCCGTCCAGCCTGTCGGCTGTTCAATGCGATAATTTGAAATAGGAGCCCCCCAATTAAAGTCCCCAGCATTCCGATCATATTAAATATTAATCAAGCATAATGCTCAACATTTGCGAATGAATCACATTCTGAGTTGACACATTCACCTCGGCCACCTCGGCCCCTCCCACTCCCTTTCCCTTTGCCAACTGCATCATCCACATCATTTGCGGTTCAATTATTTTGCGGTCGTCATTTTGTGCAGCCGTTCTGTACGCCGGACATGCTTCGATTCTGTTTATTTTTTTCTAGTTGCACTGACACATTCCCAGAAACCACAAACAGTTGCACAAACAAATCTGTAGCAGTGTCTAAAAGTTAATCTCCGCTCTAGAGTTGGAAGGTGCAAATGCAAAGCCACCAGAGTTAATCAGCCACCCTTGGGGCGGATATTAGATGTACGATTTTTGCATAAAAACAGAAACAGAAAAATGTTGAACAAGATACGAAATGCTCATTAACTTTGAGTTCAGGTATATATTTATTAATTGGAATTGAAATAACAATCGATTTACCAGCTCTGAAAGTGCGAAAGAATGCTTTGAAATGCATATCGAACAAACCAGCTTTGTTAGCTCATTCAACGACAATGGGAATTCCCAAGAAGGGGCACCTGTAAAAAGACTAAGTCCAGCTTAGTGTTCGTCTGTGAGCATGCCCCATCACCTTAAGCCTCTCCCACCTGACTACTGTTCTACCAAGGTAATTTCCTCACACTCCATTGACTTCAATTGTGCTCTGTGTTTGCGCTTATTTGATTCCAGATGCATTGTCTGTCAATTCATATTTGCGATATTGCAAAGGCATTCATTCAGCTTTTTCTGCCACTCAAAGCTCTCAGCCCTGCCCGTCTTGTCACCCATTTGCCTTTCCAAGAACATTTTTCATTAATATTTTGCGCAAAATTTTTTGTAATATTTCTCCCCGTTCGCTGCAATTTGACGCTCCGTGCGACTGTTTGTTTGTCACTTTGCTGGAGTCCCCATCAGGCAGGGAGCGCAATATGATTCGGATTCCATTTCAGTTCTCCGGCTTTTCTTTCTATTATTTTTTTGAGATTTTTTTTGTCCCCCTCTCCGTTTGACACTCTAGGCAAAATGGCTGCTGCAATGACTTGTCTTTTTGTCAGCATTTCCGGCAGCTTTAATTTCATTTCGTATTCCCAGACCCAGCCCCAGCCCCAGCTCCACACCCACTCGCGCCTGGCTCTTTCATTCATTGTGAGATTGGGGCATAATAAAGTTGTAAAAGAAGCGCTCATAAATCCCCCGCTTGATGTCCGCTTTTTGGCATTTTATATTAAAAACTGGAAAATGTGAGCAATGGGCGAGGAGAGGAGCATTCGTAAAGCTGAACTTGAAAGTTGGTAGCAAATTGCCGGAGCCTTTAAGAGCACAGGCGCAGGGCAATTCATCAGAGCGACTTCCGGTTCCGGTCTAGGCCAAAGCTACACAACAGCTTGATTTTGATTTTTGATTCCCACTCTTGACTGCTGACTGGCATGTGGCCAACTGACGTGCTCACCCAGTTGCCCCCAACCCACCGCCAGTCTAGACCAAGCTAGTCATATTTCAGGACACACACACACCCTCGTACACACACTCAAAATCAAAGGGGAAACGGCGCCGGGGCCTGTTTAAAATGGCAATCACGTTTCGCGTATCCTTCACTACACACGCGTTCCAATGACCAGCACTGAGGCGGTCTTTCGATGTGTGTGTGTGTGTGTGTGTGTGTGGGTCGGAGCCGACGCACATTACCCGTCAAAGGCAGAGTCCAAAAATATGCCAGCGAGGTTTGCCAGAAGAGCTTTTCAGACAGTTTATTAGACACCACCGAATATAAACTTAAATTCACAGAGTAAATGAATACCATTTTAATTATCAATTCACGTCAAATTGATCTCCACGAAAACCAATTCTTTTTTTGTGCCGTGCAAGTGGCTTGGTTTTTAGCAAAAATCTCAAAAACTAACAGTTGCCAAAAATCAACCTTAGCACCAGTTTAAGGGCTAGTCAAGGGGTGCGTCATATTTTTAATATAATTTTTGCGTACGCCTGTCCCAATTAACATGAGAGAAATGCCCATATGTATGCTTTGCATTAATTGAATGTTCATTTATAATATGAAAACGCAGTGGACTGGCAAAGTATAAGAACATTAATTTCCGGTCCTCGATACTCTCGAAACTGCTGATATTACGACTGACTGCTTTTCCTCTTCTTCTCTGCTGTTCAGCTTATCTTCTGTTGTCAGCCGTCCGGTTCGGAAAAAAGAAACCGTGAATCTGGATCTGTACGTAATGCACTCACAAAACTCATACAATAGCTGCATTCCTCCCACACTGTGTGCCCGAACAACAATTGACTATTCTCAATTGACCATGAATTTTATTTAATAAAACTGATCTAACAGATTAAATACAGTTGATACACGAACCACTAGACTGGAGACTCTGGAATAAGACAAAAAAGGCTCCCATCGGGTAGAGCCGCCTTCTGAGAGCTACATTTTTCTCACAGATGAACCACCAGACAAGGGAAACTTTTCCGAAAGGAAAATACAACTCGTAACTTTCCAAGTTCGTCGTTTAAAACATATTGAATATATTTTGAAACTTTGTGCTACACTGAACCGAAAACGTATTATTTTATAGAAATATTGTGGATTCTACGAAGAAACTACCTGCGGGGTCCCTTCAAGTGAAGTGATCGCCGTTTTGGAATAGGAAAAAGAGTGCAATGATCTATTCTATCTCTATTAAATTCTCACCACCTCGACTACCTGATAGAATAATTTATAAACTTCTATAGCGCACCACTTGTTCGCTGTGAGCATGGTTTTGCGTTTTCTGGATTTTTTACTTTAATATTTTGTTGCTTAGCGTTTTGCTGGCATTCTCTCTCTCTCTGCTCCTGACTCGCTCGGGAATCCAACAACGAACGGTTTTCAGCGCTAAACTTTTGACACCCACACAACCGCATGCATATACACATTCAGGCACACACATGCACAGACAACGTGGAAAGCTCACCCACACAGCCACACTTGTGTTTCGACACGCACGCGATGCATGCGGCGGCTGCCGGAAATGCCGGGCTCAACGTCCAAGAACAGCAACAGAAACAGCAACAGCAACAACTACGAGTACAAGAGCAAGAATCAACTGTGGATGTGGATGTGGATGTGGCATGTGGATGTTGACGCTTACTTTGGTTCACTCATGCAGCCGTCTCGTCTCTGGTATGCCCTCTCCCCGGGCAGCACCACCCGCTTAGCTGACATTTTTGCCAGCGTAATCACGATTAAACTGTCAACGGCATACTAATTAGATTTTTATTTTTATTGCGCCATGACAACGCCGCGTGACGTTGCCGCGTCCCCTGTCCTGTCCTGCGGCCTGCTTCCTGGATCCTGGCTCCTGCCTCCCCAGTCCTGTGTCCATGTGGCCAAAGGTCCTGCTTAGCCAGGCTGCCCCCACTCGTGTTCTTTTTTGCCATTCTCAGTGAAGCGCGTGCCTCGCATGACCAAGTGACATGGCACGCCAGGAAACGGAATGAGGGGAACACTCGCACTCGTACTCGCACTCGTAGAGAGACAAGGGAAGGGACAGAGAAGAGACTGACGAGGGACATTGTTGGGGACATTGAGCAGCCAGGACTAGGAATAGAGGACCCTTGCCAGGGCACTTTGTGGCGCCTGCTACTTGTGATTTATGCCTTATCATATTTATGAAAATTATTGTTATTGATGGCATTCGGTATTGAGTGAGCGCAAAAAGAGCAAACAAATCCAATTGATTGATTGAAAGATTGAGCGAAACATTTCCGTAATTGATTTAAAATGTGTTGTGGCCTTCCCCTGGGCATATTAAATAATGGAAGTGCTCGGCATGTTCAGTGATCTTTTGACCTCGATTTGCTTTGAATTAAAGCCGCATTGGAACTGGAATATTTTTCTAATGATAATTTGGGGATAGTTTCGATGTTATACTTAGTTTGATTATTGTTTAAAATTATATATTATTATATCTTATTATAGGGATACATGGTAACACCTGCTGCACTAGAGTCTGAATGCTGAATAAAGTTTCCATAGTTTGATTAAATACTTCAAGAGAGCCAGACAAGATAGATCGTAAATCACTTGACATCTGTATGTACCCTTACCTGGATAATGAGTGCGGACTAATTCATCATTAGTAAAATTAAATTTGAAAGTGCTTCGCCCTCACACCTGCACAATCATTTTATGCACTTCCCATTCAAATGGGTTTCTTTTCGGTCTGTGAGGGAAGTTGCATATCTCACGCTCCAAGTGGTTCATAGTTGTGCCCGAGCTCTATTGAAGTTCCCCCATCTTGGCTAGCATTTCTAGACGGTCTTTCTTTTGGACTGCCCCACCTCCCCCGTTCCACACAGAGGAGGTGCTAGATCCTGGTTTGTTTGGTTTGTTTGTTAGGGTCTATTACTTCCGAGCTGTTGAATGCGTCATCAAGAAATCCTCCGGGCACAGTTACACGTTTAAGCTGTACACCTGTGAACAGTGCCCTGCTTCTCTGGCTGTTTCCCTGCCCGTTTCTATACAATTTCTCGTCGCCTTTCCTTTGTTAATATTTTTTCTGGATTTATTTTCATTAAGTTCCCGTACAGGAAGTGAAAAGCTTTGTTGCCGCCGCTGTGGGTGGTGTTTGGGCCAGTCTCAGTTGCTGGTTCACTGGGCCAAGTGCTAATGTGGCCAGACAATGGAGGCGCGGCTGTTGGCTGTTGGCTGAAGCAAGCCCCCACAAAAAAAGAAAAATAAATGCAGGTGAATTTAATGAAAATGTGCAAATTACACAGCACACGAGAAACCATAAACCATTCCATTCCCTACATCCAAACAGCAATTGCAGTTGCAGTTGCTATTGTAATTGTTGT